GGCGGGCGTTATGTCCCCCGCTCGATTCTGATGGATCTCGAGCCGGGTACCATGGACTCCGTTCGCGCGGGTCCGTACGGCCAGCTCTTCCGCCCCGACAACTTCATCTTTGGCCAGTCCGGCGCAGCCAACAACTGGGCCAAGGGCCACTACACTGAGGGCGCGGAGCTGATCGACTCCATCCTCGACACATGCCGCAAGGAGGCGGAGAGCTGCGATTGCCTGCAGGGCTTCCAGCTGTCTCACTCCCTTGGTGGCGGCTCGGGCTCCGGCATGGGCACCCTGCTCATTTCGAAGCTCCGCGAGGAATATCCGGACCGAGTTATGATGACCTTCTCCGTCATCCCCTCCCCAAAGGTGTCCGATACCGTCGTCGAGCCCTACAACACAACCCTCTCCGTGCACCAGCTTGTCGAAAACAGCGACGAGTGTATGTGCGTGGACAATGAAGCGCTTTACGACATTTGCTTCAGGACGCTCAAGCTGACGACCCCGACGTTCGGCGACCTGAACCACCTCGTGGCTGCGGTCATGTCCGGTGTGACCTGCTGCCTGCGCTTCCCCGGCCAGCTCAACTCGGACCTGCGCAAACTCGCCGTCAACCTCGTGCCGTTCCCGCGCCTGCACTTCTTCATGATCGGGTTCGCCCCGCTGACCAGCCGTGGCTCGCAGCAGTACCGCGGTCTCTCCGTGCCGGAGCTGACTCAGCAGATGTTCGACGCCAAGAACATGATGCAGGCTGCCGACCCGCGCCACGGCCGCTACCTCACGGCATCGGCCCTCTTCCGCGGCCGCATGTCCACCAAGGAGGTCGACGAGCAGATGCTTAACGTCCAGAACAAGAACAGCAGCTACTTCATTGAGTGGATCCCGAACAACGTCAAGTCCACCATCTGCGATATCCCGCCTAAGGGCCTCAAGATGTCCGTTACCTTCATTGGCAACAACACCTGCATCCAGGAAATGTTCCGCCGCGTCGGCGACCAGTTCACCGCCATGTTCCGCCGTAAGGCCTTCCTTCACTGGTACACGGGTGAGGGCATGGACGAGATGGAGTTCACCGAGGCCGAGTCCAACATGAATGACCTTGTCTCCGAGTACCAGCAGTACCAGGATGCCACCGTGGAGGAGGAGGGCGAGTTCGACGAGGAAGAGGAGGCCTATTA